CTTTTTTTTTTTTTTTTTTTTGACTGTGGTTAATTGAACCCATCCTTGAACCCAGCTAGGCAAGCGCCCTCTCCCACTGAGCTTGTACCCTCCTCCCATAAAGGGATTTGAATCCTGGACTTCTCCACTCAGCTACATCCCCAACCTTTTATTTTATATTTTGTGACAGTGTCTTGCTAAATTGCCCAGGCTGGCCTCAAACTTGCTGTCTCCCTCCCTTAGCCTCTTCAAATCCTGAGGTTACAGGCATTCACTACATGCCCAGCTTCCTCTCTTTTTAAGGCCGCGCAGTATTCCCCTGTATTGCTTCTGCCTTTTGGCTTGGGGGAGTAAAGCTGCTCTGAACGTGTGTACAAATGCCTCTGATCGTACATTTGATTTTTTTTTTACTATATGCTGAGAAGATTGTTGAATCATTTTGAGTTCTTGTGGAACCATCATAACTTTTTAGAGCGACTATACCATTCACATTTTCACCAGTAGTGCATTAAGGGTTCTAATTTCTCCACATCCTTGTCAACACTTTTCTGGATATTTGATAGCCTCCTAATGGGTATTATATGGTTTTGATTTACAGTGCATTTCCTTTGTCATTGAAGTTGACTGTCTTTTCGTGTGCTTATTATTATTTGTATATTGTTGGAGAAGTGTCTATTCAAACACTTTGACCATTTTCAAACGAGGTAGTTTTTCTTGGTGAGTGTAGTTCTTTATATATTCTGGATATTAACCCCCTATTAGACGTATGATTTGCAGATATTTTCTTTATTCTGTAGGTGGCCTTTGCACTTAATTTGATTTTTAAATAGAAGTTTTAAATTTTGATACCCATTTTATCTGTTTTTACTTTGATTGCCTATTTTTGATGAAATAGGTTCTTTAGCTTCTTTGTTTCTTTCTTGAATGAGTAATTTAAAGTTGTATATGTTTACATAGTACAAAGTGATGTTATAAATTATAAATATATGAATTAAGTCAAGTCTATTCACATTTATGATCTCACTTATTTTTATGGTGAAAATACTTGAAATTTACTCTTTTTTGGTGGGGGGAGGGTACCAGGGATTGAACTCGGGTTCTTGCGCTTGCAAGGCAGGCCACCGAACCACTGAGCTAAATCCCCATCCCTACTCCTTTTTAAACTTAAGGTTGGGCTACTTAGGCTTTACCAGGTATATTTAAATCATATGAAACTTTATTTTATTTACAGTATCAGAGATGAAACCCAGAGCCTTGCACATGCTAGGCAAGCACTCCACCAATGAGCTGTATCCTCAGCCTGTGAAATTTATTCCTAGTGAATTTGAAATGTACAGTGCACTGTTGTTAACTGTTAATGCTACATCATAGGTCTAAAAATACTCCATGGGCCGGGGATTTAGCTCAGCGGTTCGGTGGCCTGCTTCGCAAGCGCAAGGACCTGAGTTCAATCCCCGGTACCTAAATAAATAAATAAATAAATACTCCATGTTTCCTGAGATTGTGTAACCTTTGACCATCTCTCCGTTCTTCCCACCCCCAGCCTCTGTAACCATCATCCTGCCATGCGCTAAGTTTGACTGTGCAGGCAAAATATGTGTGATATTTGTCTTTCTGTGCCTGATTTATATCACTTAGAATAATGTTTTCCAATTCTATTTATGCTGTTGAAAGTATGCAAGTTTTCTTTTGAAAGACTAAAATAAGATCCCGTTGTGGTTATATACCATATTTTTTATTCATCTATTGTTACTATAACATGGCTGTTGTGAGTAGCGCTACAGTGAAAATGAAAATGCAGACATTTCTTCTGACAAACTGGTTTCATATCTTTTAGGTAAATATCCAGAAATGGGATTGTTGAGGGGCTAGGGATTTAGCTCAGTGGTTCCACCACCTGCTTTGGAAAAACAAGGTCCCAAGTTCCATCCCCAGTACCAAAGAAAGAAAAAGAAATGGGATTGCTGGGTCATGTGTTAATTCTATTTTTAGGTTTTTGAGGAGGCTACATACAGTTTTGCATAATTGCTTCATTAATTTACATTCCCATCAGTGGCATACAAGGGTTGCCTTGTCCCTGTGTGCTTGTCAGCACTTGTTATCTTTTGTGTTTTTGATAAAGCCATTCTGACAGGTATGAGATGTCTCATTGTGGTTTTAATTTTCCTAATGATTAGCATTGTCTAGCATTTAAGTGGTAAATACATATACTGGCCATTTGTATGTCTTTTCAGAAATGTCCTTGCCTTTTTTTTTTCTCCCATGTTCTTTTGTGGGA